GGTGATGGTTGGACCCATGAGAGTTGAAACTGAATCCTATATAAACCCCCTTCTTACCGATACCAATTCTCACTCCCAACTACACGTGTCTTCTTTCTTGCTTTCTCCTTTCTAAAAATCAACATGAAGCTCCTCTCTCTTCTCCTGTTCTCGATGCCGCTGCTTATTCTCTGTTCTCTCAAGCACACATCAGCTGCCTGCCACGTCGATGATCATGCGGGTCTTTTGGCATTCAAGTCGGGTATAACCCACGATCCATCAGGCATGCTCAGCTCGTGGAAACCGGGCACCGATTGCTGCTCTTGGCAAGGCATTTCTTGCCTCGACAATATCCGGGTCAACACCATATCGCTTTCCGGCAACCCGGACAAACCGAATGGATATTTAACGGGCTCAATCTCACCCTCTCTCGTCAAAGTTCAAAACCTTGACGGTATTTATTTTTTTGATCTTAACATTACGGGTCGATTCCCGGATGTTTTGTTCCGGTTACCAAAGCTCAAATTCATTTACATAGAAAACAACAAGCTCTCGGGTCCGTTACCTTCTGATATAGGCAAGATGACCCAACTTGACGTTCTCAGTTTATCAGGCAATCAATTCGCTGGGTTGATACCAAGCTCAATCGCCGAGTTGACTCAGCTGACTCAGCTTAAACTTGGTAACAATCTACTCACTGGCCCAATTCCTCTTGGAATCAGCAAGCTAGCAAAGCTGAGTTTCTTGAGTCTAAAAAATAACAAACTCACGGGTACCATACCTGATTTTCTCTCATCACTCACAAACCTTAGGATTCTTGAACTTTCACATAACAAATTTTCTGGTAAAATACCAAATTCAATAGCCTCCCTGGCTCCAAACCTTACTTACCTTGAACTAGGTCACAATGCATTGACAGGAACAATCCCAAGTTTTCTTGGGAAGTTCAAGGCATTAGACACCCTTGATCTTTCTTGGAACAACTTCACAGGAACTGTCCCAAAAAGTTTTGGAAACTTGACAAAAATTTTCAATCTTGATCTCTCTCACAACTCTCTTGTAGACCCATTTCCTGTAATGAATGTTAAAGGCATCGAGTCACTTGATTTGTCTTACAATAAGTTCCACCTTGGGAAAATACCGAACTGGGTCACTTCGTCTCCTATCATTTACTCTCTCAAGCTTGCCAAATGCGGGATCAAGATGAACTTGAATGATTGGAAGCCAAAGGAGACGTATTTCTATGACTACATTGATCTTTCCTTCAATGAAATATCAGGTAGTCCAGTTTGGTTGATGAATAAGACAGATTATTTGGTTGGTTTTTGGGCTTCGGGGAATAAGTTGAAATTTGATCTAGGGAGCTTAAAGATTGCTGCGACATTGAAGAACCTGGAGTTGTCAAGAAATCTGGTTTATGGTAAGGTGCCCAAGTCAGTTTCTGGGCTGGAAAGTTTGAATTTGAGTTACAATCATCTCTGTGGACAGCTTCCATCAACAAAATTCCCCGCTAGTGCATTTGTCGGCAATGACTGTCTGTGTGGTGCTCCGCTACCTCCTTGCAAAGTGAAGGGGGAGTAAAATAACAAATGGTGGTCCATGCGAGTTGGATTAATAAGAAAGTGGTTCGCACTCAAGACTAGGAATCTTTTGCTGATAAAAGAATAATCCTTAAGTAGGAGCTGTCTTGTGCCCTTCTATATTTTTTTTTTCTTGTTAGCGTCTTGTATACCTATGTGCTCTCATATTGCCCAATAAACTTACCAATAACAACAAAAGAGCTGAGTTTTAATGCCAAAATGAGTCAGGTGTGCAAACGTGCAGCTATATCTTAATTCTCAATATTTTTTTTGTTTTGCTTTCCTAATTTTGCAGTTTGATTCTGCTGAATTAGCCGTGAACAATTTTTTTATATTTAATCTCAGATATTTTTAGATTTTTAAATAATTTATCAACTTATAAATATTTTTTAATTTTATCTCTTATAGTTTTTTTTATAAAATTTAATATTTATTATTTTGATTGATATTTATTTTATTAGGGATCATTTTTTATTTTTTTAATTACATTTTCTTTGAGTTTTTTAATCAAATTTTATTATTTTGATTGATATTTATTTTATCAGGAATCATTTTTTATTTTTTTAATTGCATTTTCTTTAAATTTTTTAATCAAATTTTATCATCATTATTTTTATTATTTTTTAATTTTTTTTCTAATATCATCATTCAAAATTATATTTGTTAAGAATCGAGCTTCTTTATTAAATTTTAATTAAAGATTTCATACATTATACATCATTCAAAATTATATTTGTTAAGAATTGAGCTTCTTTATTAAATCTTAATTAAAGATTTCATACGTTACAATTTTTAAAAATTAAATTAGGTTTAAAAGGCTTGCCAAGTTTGCTTCATTTGTTTTTATTTTTAAACTGACTTTGTCTCCTCTTTATTTTTGGTTTTATTTTGTTAATTTTTCAGTTTTATTTTATTAAGTTAGCCTTATATAATATTTTTTAATTTCACCCTAAACATTTTTAACTTATAAATAATCTATAAATTACAAATATTTTTCAATTTTATCCTCTAAGATTTTTTAATCTGTTAAATTTAATACTCATTATTTCAATTGCAATTTATTTTAAAAATTAAAGATTTTTAAAGATTTCATACATTACAATTTTTAAAAATTAAATCAGGTTTAAGAGACTTGTCAAGTTTGCTTCATTTGTTTTTATTTTTAAACTGACTTTGTCTCCTCTTTATTTTTGGTTTTGTTTTGTTAATTTTTCAGTTTTATTTTATTAAGTTAGCCTTATATAATATTTTTTAATTTCACCCTAAACATTTTTAACTTATAAATAATCTATAAATTACAAATATTTTTCAATTTTATCCTCTAAGATTTTTTAATCTGTTAAATTTAATACTCATTATTTCAATTGCAATTTATTTTAATTTTATCATCCTTATGTTTTTTTCTATCAAATTCTATTTCTATTTTTTTTATTGCTTTTTATTTTTTTTCACGATTCAATCCTTTAAAAGTAAATTTATTAAGAGTTAAATTTCTTGATTGAACTCAGGTCCAATATTTTACAAGTTGTATGTTTGAGAAAATAGGTTAGGTTTATAAGATTTGTTTGAGTTTGCTTGATTTTTTTTTTATTTTTGAGTTTTATTCTATTTTTTTAGCCCTCTATAATATTTTTTTAATTTCACCTATACCATTTTTTAACCTATGAATAATATATAAAATCACGAATGTTTTTTAATTTCATTCTTTATAATTTTTTAATCTTGTAAATTTGATACTTATTTTTTAATTACTATTTACTTTGTTTGGGATTATTTTAATTTTGTTTTCAAAATTCTTGTTTAATACATGTTTTTCTCTTAGATTTTATCCTCATTTCTTTTGTTTTTGTTTTTAATGAATATTTTTTCTATGATTTAATTCTTTAAAATTAAATTAATTAATAGTTAAGTTTCTTAATTGAACTTTTAGCTATAATTTAATGAATTGAAAGTTTTTATAATTAAACCAAATTTAAGAGGTTTGCATGGAATTTTCCTGGTTTTTCCTCCTTGTATGTTTGTCTAGATTAGATGGGTTTATATGATAAAATTCATGTAAAAACAATTTGCTCATATTCCATCATGCATTCAAGCATCTTTACCCATTCATCCACACACCATAAAGAAGATTCACAGCCTTCTGAGAATTTATGACTAAAATTCTTGATTCTTCAATTGACCTCAAAAGTAGTACTGCTGTAATTTCTTCTCCTCTTTTAAGTTCATTAGCTATGAAGGTCTCGACTCTATTATACACAACATCGCAAAAGATGGCTGGTAAAATTATCACGAGTGTCTTTTCCTGTGAGACCAGGGAACATATCGTACTTCTGTCTTAAGAGCAGCGGAAGGAGAAGGTCTCGTATCAACAGTTACAAAATTATTTTCTAGTAAAGAAAAACAAAAGAATCGATACCTAAACCCTAATAAAATGTTTGATTTGTGATTATTTTTTAAAATATTTTTTATTTATAAATATATTAATATAGTTTTTTTAAAAAGATTAATTTTGATATCAATACATCAAAATAATTTAAAAATATTAAAAAATTTAAATTTAAAAAAAAATTTAATTTTTTTTTTAAATACAGGATAAACTATATTTTCAAATATTCTATAAACCAATTACATCTAAAAACAAAAAGAAAGAAAGGGACTTTAGCTTCACTTTACACTTAAAAAACGAAACCCAAAGACAAAATCTTCTGTTTCAATGAGCAAGCTATGCTAAGGAAAACTTGTTAAAACTTTATCTAGTTTCTTTTGCTCCTAAAGTTATTAGAAAAAGGGTGGATGATATGCTCCAAAAGAAAAGATTAAATAAAAAAAATTAGGTTCTAGTGTAATTCTAGTTTTATATTATGGAGTATAATTTTTAATTGAATTATTGAATTTTATTGGATCATATTGAAATTTTATCACAAATCTTAATATATATTTTTATATATTAATTTAAAATTTCAGGTTAATTAAAGTTTAAAAAAACATTATAATTCAAGTCAGCAGATACAATAGAAATTTTGTTATTTACTGCAGACTTCACAATTCTACATATTCAAAATTCGAAAAAAGAAAGAAAAAACGAAAAACACTCATGTTTTATACAGGCTTTACATGAAATCTTTCTAGCTTTTCGCTGGATTTGCTCTGGCCCCTAAATTGGACGATTAAGGTTTGCGGGAGGCCAGCAGATTGCCTTTGTAATTTCAGACTGGGATTCGTTGTCTGGATTGTTCGACTTGACCACGTACATCCTGTATCTTGAATGTGTTGTTTACTCCTCGAATCAAGGAAATAAACTTCTGTTCGAAGATTATAGGAAATTTGATGCCAAACTTGTCTTCAACCATTTTGGCGGCAGATATTGTCTCCCATGAACAGAGATGGACAATTACCAAACATTAAAAAGCACAGAAAAAACCAAGTACGTAGCTCATTCAATGACCCAAAAGGCAAGAAAATAGAAATATATAATGCTAATGGAAGTAAAATCCGTGACACTAACTATCTTTTAACATTTTCAATTTGCTCACATCAAAACTAAATCTTAATTTCCACAATTCTTTATTGCCTTCTTTTTCTTAAAAAAATTGGCACCAAAAGAAGCACATCAATGCAAGCATCTCCTTTCTGGCAGAAATGGAAAAAATCAACAATCACCTAATCAGTTGTTTATTTATGGTCACCAGAGCCCTTCATTGCTTCTCAATCCATCAATCCACAACTATCACCGCTTCCTTTTCAGCCACATTTGATTCTGATTCTTTCGCTGCCTTTTCCTTCAACTCATTCACAGCTTCTTCTTTGACAGCCTTCTCTGCCTGTAAAATTGGCTCGTAATAATCGGCATGAGCTTCCATACATTTTGTCAAGAACCGAGTAACCTCATGGCACTTCTCCACAATATCCTCATTGCTATCTTCTGCCTCTTTAACGCAATCCTCCCATGCTATGAAAGCATCTTTGCACCCACCTCCCTTCATGTACACACAAAACCCGCACTCTCCTTCCTCTTCCTCTTCCACTTCTTGACCTTCATCTCCATTGGCATCAGTGGGTTTCTTTGATTGATCTGATGCTTCAGGGGTTTCAGTGGCAACTGAAAAACCTGAAGAGGGCAGCGGAGGGTTTGATGAGGTTGTGGATGAATTATGATTCTGGGAATTGCCAGGAATTGATGAGCTCGGCGATAAGTTGGATTCATTAGAATCATTAGGGTTTGTTCTTGAAGAAGAGACACCTCCCATGGCTACTTAAAACCTTGTGAAAACCCTTCGATAGGACTCAGTAATTATCTAGTGGATATTTATTTCTTTTCTTTCAGTATGACCAAACAATTATACAGGCCATTTGGAGGAGGCACATTCACTCACACACTAAGAAAATAAATAAATTCTACTAAACTAGAAAACAAATACTGAACCCGCACAATCTCTTGTACCTAAATCTCCTCTGAAACCTGAAAAAAATTGCACAAGTTTTCATCATCAAATCAAATCTAAACCACTTAAAAGCCTCACAATTAAAAGGAATACGAGAAGATTCATATGCATTTGTCTACTTATTGCCTTGTTTACCAACAACATCATTCACTACAAGCTAAAACTAATCAAACAACTAAAACATACCACCATATCCAGAGTAAATTGCATCTCAAGAATGATGCCAGGGTCTTGGAACTACAAACTCATCATATTTTAGGAACAATAACCGCATCTAACTCACTTAAAATTCAAGTCTATAAGTTTAAATTCATTCACACAAATGAAGAATAATGCCCAAGAGGGTAAATTAGATCATCAGAAACTCATAAGATCCGGGAAGCTCAGCAATACAAATATCGGAGAAAATTGCATCAAGCAATAATTGAAACCGAAAATCCAAAAATTTACACATAAGCATACACATGCTGCAAAATAACAACCTACACTACGCAATTTTAGTTCAAAGTAGTGGTGACTAAGCTTAAGCAGCGTCTTGGGTCTGCAAAACCCAAAAAACATGTCACATTCCACGGTAAGAAAACATCAACAAATTTCAGAAGAACAAAACTTTAGTACAAGGTGCGGTTCTAATTCCTTAAAAATGACAACCTGAAGCCAATATCAGGAAAAATGGTCTATAACCCATGTAAGTTAATCAAAGCAGTAGATTAGGTCACATACTGACCAGCGGTGATTCCCGGCAATCGATGTTGTGGAGGAGGTTTAGGGTTTTTCGGTGGCGGTGAAAAAGGATCGTAATATTGTTAACTTCCTGGTGACTTGCTATTAAAAACAAGCACGTGTTGAAATCATCGTGCATTGTGCAGTGTTGAATTGGGATGTAGGTGGCAACAATCCAGTTAATGGGGCATTTGGTCACTCTACTCTTACTTTTGTTTCACTTTCATCCTTTAATTATGTTTTATTTTTAATTTCACCCTCCACTCAGGGGGTAAATGGTAGCACCTAGGAAAATGGAGCTCATGCTAAGACATTTTCTATTTTTAACTTCTCTACTCCAATTTTTGCAACATCGTCAATTAGAGTGATAAAGTGGAGGAGGAACTTTTTATGGTTGTTAACGTGGCTCCTAGTCTTTCATGACTTTAAACATATTTTTGCACCTTTATATCCTTTTCTTCCAAATCCTAAAACCACCCTATGTTATGTGCTTGAAAATTTCTTTTTCATAAAAAATGAATTATTTATATTTTATTTTCCAAAAAAAAAAAGAAACATTAGAGCTCTTAGCCTTTGTAGAAACCATTTTTTTTTAAAAAATAAACCCACAACAATATCCATTTCGACTACATTCTAATATTTAATATTTAAGAGAAAACTTACCAAAAAAATGAAGGCAAAAATATTGAGTACAACATTTGTAAAAAAATCACCTATGAAGGATGAAATTCGAATAGAAAAAAAATGGTCCTAAATATTGTTATTTATTTTTAGACTTTATGTGCTAAAAATAGTGTGTACTCATTTTAAACTAAGTGCATGAGTGTAATTCATGTTTGCTAGAAAATTCATAAAAGCTGTGGAGAAAGAAATATTTTTTCAAACCTTGTTTGAGTTGTTTTCTACTCTTTTTATCCTTCCCCTTTGCTGTAAAAAAATTAGGTTTCTTAGACTGATAAGGAGTCTTTATATAAATTCCTTAGAATTTGCATTTTAAAAAAAATTAATTCTGCTGTTGTCATAAATTTTTTGTTCCAACTTGGACTCTGATTCTGACTTGGTTTCGTATGATATTTGACTATCCTAACTATATTATGTCGCTTATGACATGTTGAAAATTTGACTTACACCTTTATTGGGTCCTAGGGGTCACTGTTTTTAAGGCATACTCTTAATCAGATTTGGATGCTCAATATTATCAGATCAAAAAAATCTTTTTGACCAACCAAACTTGATAAATTCTCTTATCTAAAATGATTTTATCTCACTTTGAATCCTTCATCAAAGTTGTAGTTTGGGACATGTAGATAAATTTAGACTTTTAAATTGTTTGATTTTGACATCAGAAGGTTGAGATTTTCCTATTTGAAATATAGCATGAAAACATATAATCCTGTTACGACAAGGTTTCCAGCCAAGTTTGGTTGCAATTTTATTATTCAAAATGAATTTATCTTATTTTTTATCCTTCATGAAACTTGTATCTTTACAAGTGTAGATGGATTTGAGATTTTGAATCGCTTGATTTCAATATCAAAAGCTCATAATATTCCTATTTAAATATATAACGTGAAAGTAGAGAATTTTATCGTGAGAAGGATCCTGACCCGAGTTTTGCACTAAAGACTTAATTTCTGTCACAAATTTTATTAATTTATTCTTAGGTCATACTCTTAATCATATCAAGATGCTTGGCATTATCATTTTCTGAATTAGATCAGGAGACCCTTTTTGACCAACCAGATTTATGACAGATTCTGTTATCTAAAACAATTTTATCTCACTTTGAATCCTTCATCAAAGTTGTAGTCCTTGATGTGTAGATGAATTTGGACGTTTGAATCACTTGATTTCAATATTAGAAGCTTAAGATATTCCCATTTGAATATCAAATATGAAAGCAAAGAATTCTGTCACGAGAAGGGTTTAGCCTAAGTTCGCAGGCCTGACTCGAAGGATTTTTTTGGACTAAAGATTGAATTGAAAAGTGTTAAAATAAGAGATTTAATTAAAAAAAGGATATTGAAAGCTGGAGAGGGGGCTAGATCATCATAAATGACAAGATTTCTACCACACTGAATAAAAAAAATAAGACTTTGCAACATGCACCCTTACCCATATGATTTCTTTCCTTTTTCTTTGCAAATTTCCTATGGTTTCCATGTTTCTTTTGTTAGATTGAAGAGTTGCAGACCATGTTTTTATTGCCTCATTTTAAAGGGAGCAACTAGAGCCTCATGGTCCAAGCTATGGAAGGAAAGAAAGGAGTTGTACCACCCTTTTAATCATTGAAACTAATTGTTGAAATCAGAATATTTTAGTTTTCTTTTTGCATTTTTACTACAAATCAGCAGGGATTTGCATCTTAGAATTAATACATTGAATCTTTCCTAAATAGAGATATATTAGATTATATATAAGCCCCCTTTTAATGACCTAGCAGAGAGGGGGAGGAAATAAAAAAAGAAAGACAAGAAAAAAAACAGGAGAGGATAATGCAGATAACAGGGGAACACAGGTTTTCTTTCTTTGATTCTTTCATCACTGTGGAGGAAATAGAAAAAGAAGACCAAAGCTGAACGCAGGAGACCAACATAAGTAAAGAACAAAGGGAAAAGAGCTGGAATAGACGAACATGAACATACCAGTTAGCATGCCTTCAACATCGCTACAACTCTTTCATTTTTATCCAGGTCTATTATTCAGTTTCTGTATGCATTTCTTGGTTGTATGTTAATTAATGCATAAAAGTGAGAGAGAGAGTATAAGACTCCAGCTGACTTATATATAGGTGATATGATTGCATTTTTAAGTTCTCATCTATAAAATCTTCTTTTCCTTCCCTTCATTTCTACTCAACTCATACATTCAACAAATATGAAAATGTGTAAAAATGACAGGTTCTTCAAGTCATCACATAAGAAACTTTTGTGTTTTCGGTGGATCTAGTCTTGGAAGGATATAAAGTTTTTAAAATCAGCAAATCATCTTAGTTAGATATTAGCTGAAAGAAAGATTTATTTAGTGCATAGAGGAGGCAGCTTTGGGTTAATGAGGGGAGTGTTAATAACTGTATTTTTAAAATAAAGTCAAGTTTTGAGGGTTGTCCCCAAAGCTTTAGCAAATAAAGACATTATTGTAAAAATAATTATAGAGGAACTATATGTCTCAATAATATCGGATCGAATGAATGCAATGTTTAAATATGCTGATGCCTTTATTGCCTTACCAAGTGGTTTATGTACATTGAAAGAGATCTTTCATATTTTTTTTTAGGCCCAACTACACATTTACCATAAACTCATAGGTCTGTTAAATGTTAATAGTTTTTATAATAAATTGTTGTCTTTTCTTGATCATGCTGTGGAATAGGAATTTCTAACATTTTTGGCATGACAACTCATAATCTCTACTGCTACTACTGAATAATTAATTGACCAACTATAATCTTTCACTTGTGTAATTGGTCTCTCTATAAGTCATATAAATTAGTCAACTAAGGAAAGTTGTAAAAAACTTAGATTAGATTTGAGCTTTCATTTGTGAATCCTTGTCTTTTGGTTTTCTTAATAGTATATTATTTTGTTTTGTTATTTCTTATATTTGTTTAAGTATATTTCAGGTTTGTCAGGTGTTTCAGGTGATATCTTCTATAGTTTATCTTTCTACTTTAGGACATTAAAGATAATGTCTCGTTTAGGTTGGGGGAAAATGGTAGTAGTTGCTATTATTAAAAAAAAATAACTAACTATGTTTTTTTTATTTCATAAACCATTTGTAAAACTATTGTTACTAGAATGACAAAATAAAAGAGTTTTTTTTTTTTTTATTAAAGTGACTCTTGAGACACATCTTAGTAAACATTCTTAACAAGGTCTTTTAGAATACTTCTTGAAATATTCAAGTTTACAAACTTTTGCATTGTTATCACTTAATTCTACTCATATACTTGTTTAATAAGTATTCTTAAACCTTTATTTTCACACACATACACTTTAGGATATGAAATGGGTTACATATTGGATTATTACGTTATTTATGTTTTTTTGTTAAAGGTATCAACTAAGAAAAATGGATAGTATATAAATTGTAAAAAACAAAAAAAATGATAATAAAAATATAGATAAGTTTGATTTCATAGCCTCCCTAACCTAAGCAATTAAGTTTGATTTAACATCTAATACCCTAAAGTCAATTAACTTGGAAGCTATTGACTCAACGTTTGTTATATGGGTTGAGGAGAAAAGTTTAAGGGAATCAAACATTACACTATTTACATATCAGTATCTGCAACCCGAGTTACTAAGCTTGTAGGGGTGTTTCAACACCTAATGCCCTAAAACAACTGATCTGGGAGTCATTAACTAAAACGTTGTTACATGGGTTAAAGATGCATAGTGTTTTTAAGTTATCTGTATATTAATAGAAAAAGAAAAAAAAGATAATAATCTTAACCTAAGAAAGTTAACCTTAAATATTAGAACAAAAATTTTGTTTTCTTTCTAGTAAAGCCCCATAACTATGTGTTGAGTTATTGAATATAAAAGAAAGGTTTATTTATCTGGATAATTTAATAGAAGTTGAATGATGAATACCTTACTTTGTGGAATTTGCAAATTATTTTTCTATTTTAATGCTTTGATTAATAGGGACTAGTAATAAGCTCGTTGGGGGGGGGTGTGATTAATACTTAAAAGTGCATTTTTATCAAGGTTTTATATCATCATTTTGCACTTCAAGTATCAATAACTCCTTAACTAAAACATGTTTTATAATAACAAGTCTGATACCATAAGGTACCTTTAATTTATGGTAAATATTTTTCCTAAATATAGGCTTGTTATATAAATAAATAAAAATTGATTAATGAGTTGAAGTATTGAAATTGAAAGGATAAAAAGAGGGCCAAATTTAGAAAAGAGATGCTGGTGTAGTCCAAACTGGAATACTGTTTTGTAATTGGGTCATATTTGGAGCTATAGATCTTAGATTTAGATTTATTTTATGTAAATGTAAAGCTAAGATATAGGCCTCAAACTTCCATGAAAAGTGAAGACTCAATTCTGTTGTTCGGAAGTCTAAATCTTAGCAATAACGTAGAAGTCTAAATCTGTCATATAACCCAGACATTGTTCAATATTCA